AAGATCTCAAAATTAAAACTTATTAGACATACATTGTCTTAATTAATTTTATCTTTGCCAAGACAAACTACCTGACACCCAAAGATGAAGGGTCGGGTTTACTTAGCTCACGATTTGCAGAGGTTTCAGTCCATAATCAGCACGCTCCACACAGGGTGGCTCATGGCAGAGGGGAAACTATTCAAGGAGGCGGAAGACAACAAAAGCAATGAGAGAGGAGACAAGTCTCTTTCTGTTTCTTATATTGTACCCAGTTGACCGGGATTAGGGCACTGCTAATCCAAATCAGTGGGCTGATCCAGCAATCACCTACCCTTAAACCCAGCACTCTCAATTCCAACACTGCACTACAATTCAATAATGCTCTAGATTTAGCCATCTTAGAAAAAAATCCTGTGACTACATGAAGCTTTGCAGGGGAAATCTAGAAACAAACCGAAAGACATTAAAATAACTTTAATTAAAATGTTCAAGAAGGGGACAGGGAGATGGCTCAGTGGAATAAGTGCTTCCCTGGCAAGCGCAAGGGCCTGAGTTCAATCCCTGGTTCTGCAAAAAGTAAATAAATAAATAAAATGTTCAAGAAAATACACAACAAAATGGAGAACTTTACCAGAAAAATGATCTTTGAAAAGGAATATCAAATGTAAAATCTAAAAGTGAAAAGAAAAACTGAACTATGAACTCAATAGATCAGACAAAGCAGTAAGCTAATTAGTAAATCAGAAAAGGTCAGCAGAAAATATCTAGAATGAATCACAGAAGGAAAATATAGAAAAGGACAAAAAATAGGCATATCCATATCACAAAGGTGAGTGTGAGCCTCAATTTATATATAATTAAAATCCAAGATCTTCAAAAGAAAAAGAAGAGGCGTAGTGGTGAACACCTGAAAACCTTGCAGTCGGGGAGGCTGATGCAGGAGGGTCAGAACTTCAAGCTCAAAGTAGACAAGTCAGCTACTTAGCAAGACCCTGCCCCAAACAAAAAGCAGTGATGCAGCAACTCCGAGTAACGCAGAACTCAATCCCCAGTACTGCCCTGCCCCCCACCCTAAAGAGTCTAATATTATTAGAGTGGTGTTTTATGGGCCAGCCAAACAGCTCAGCAGATTAAAGCACCTGCTCAGGCAGAGCGCAGAGGCCACCATGTGTGCCCCAACCCCAGGGCAAGCTGAGAAGGCAACTGAGATTGGGCGTGGAGCACGTCTGTAATCCCAACACTTGGGAGGCTAAAAACAGAAGAATCACTATGAGTCCAACCTATGTAGTAAAACCCTGTACCAAATACATTTTTAAAAAAAAGGACTGGTGTTTCAAAATTGAAGTGTCTGCTGTCTATGAGAAGCACACAACAAAGACTAACAGTAAAAAGAAAGAAAAAGACCTACCACGAAAACATGAACCAAAAGAAAGCTGATCAAATTCGTAACAGAAAAAATTGTTAAGAATCATTGACAGATCAAGAGATACCTTTTGTAATGACACAAAAGTCAATCACCAAGAAGATACAACAAATGTGCTTGTATATCACTAATTACAGAGCTTCAAACTCTCAACATGTACATCAGTGCAATGACTAAAATTCACTTCAATACATAGTAACTAACATTCATTTTGCTTCAAATCCTGGAATAGTTCACATTATATGAATCATAAAATATTTTCTCCAAGTACAGTTATAACTCTGGCCCTAGAATTTAGAATCACTGATAATTTAGAATTACTGATAATCACTGTTCTATTTTATGCATTTAAATTTGTCTAATAAAACTTCTACAGAACAACACTAAGATAAAGCTCTACTTTATATGAATCAGTTTATTCAAAGAATATATCATAAACAAAATTTTAAAATACTGATTCAATGGAAATAAAGTTTTTGTAAATAAGGAGGGGAAAAGGAGTTGAAAAGAGGGCAGGAACTGGAGGAAAAAAAGAATAAAGATATATCAGGGTATAAATTCTCTCTGATGAAGTTTGCTATTATGTATATCTAAAATATACCAATAAAATTAATTTTTAAAAATTTAAATTTAAAAATAAAGAATATACTAAGTAGAAAAACAGCCAGTTACAGACATTGATTCAGGAAGAAAAATAGCACTTCAAAAATAAAAATGTTATTTTAAGAAAACAACTGAAGCTGGGCATGATAGTCCATGCCTGTAATCCCAGCATTCTGAGAGGCTGAGGCAGGAACAATGGAAGCTGAAGCTGAGGCTAGACAATTTAATAACACCCTGTCTTAAATTTTATATACATGGGATATAGCTCAGTGTGAAAGCTATGGGATCAACCCTAGTACCAAATAAATACAAACTTTTAAAACATTTAAGCAATAATTGTCTCCTCAGTAATCATCTTGATATAATCAACAAAATGATCTTGGAAGGGACATTACATGAACCCTTCAAATTTCTCTATCATTACCTCTAACACTGATGGCAAATTCCAAAAGTACTGTAAGACTTGGGCTGATCTCAATGGCACTGAGTAAGTCTGGCAGGTCCTTACAATCATAGTTTAGTGCTTATTATATAAAGTTTTATTATAGCCAAATATGATCTAATCTGATTTTCATTTGGTAATACAGTACTGCTAGCTAATGTAATAATACTATAAAATATTGCTATTTTTTGACAATTAAGTATTCTAAGGAAAATCTGGTAGGAGTTTTCAAAACCCAACCTGTACTCACTTTTCATATATTTTCTTCCTCATCTTTTTAATCATTTAATAAACTTTTATTATATTGCTAGAAAAATTCAGTTTGCATGTAACATGTGTATAAACATATATGCACAGATATATTCAAAAACCATCTATAATATTTGGAAAATATTTGACTCTTTGACAAAAATTTGACTCTTTTCTCTGACATGATTTTCTCCAGTTTCTAACTTTCATTTCATTTCTTTTCTTTTCTTTTTTTGGTGGTACCAGGGATCAAACTCAGGACCTTGAGTCTGACAGGCAAGTACTTATTCCACTGCGCTATCTCCCCAGCCCCCTAATTTTCATTTCAATACAAAAAGCACTTTGTGATTTCAAATGTTTAATGCTACACTTGAATCTCACCATTACATTTCTATTTAATAACTGGAAATTTTTTGGCTGTAACCAATCTCCTGGTAGGAGTATGAAACAATCTCCTAGTAGGATGTAGCATCTCATAAAAACAGGCCCCAAATCCCCCTTCTTTTCTGAGAACTCTCATTAAAATGTAACCTACGTTGAATACTTATGCACAGCAGGTAGTTTACATATATTATCTAATTTCACAATTATGTATAGATCTCAGAAGAAGAGATTACACACCACAGAAGTTAAACAATCTTTCAAAGGTATATATGGCATAAGAAAAGCCAGGCTTTGCTCCCAGGCGTGTGCATGTTTCACAAAGCGAAACCCACTAGCAAGGGCCATCAAATTTAGAGGCAGAGCAGAGTTAGTATTTTAGGTATCGCTGGCCAGTCTCAATCACAACTACTGAATTCCGTAAAACAGCCACAGACAACAGGCAGACAAACGAAAGTAGTTGTTTTCTAGTAAAACTTTATTAACAAAGCATCTAAGTAGAAGGCTAAATTTAATCCAAGGTCTGTAGTTTGCCAATCTCTGCACTATACTATAACGTATTTCCTCTCATAGATCTTTGGCTTTTCACTGACATCACCGAATTTCCTTTTCTTCCTTTTTAAAAACTTATGACCTTAATTCCACTGAGCAAATTTACTTTAATGCTTCTCTTATGAAGTTTAATTATACGAAAGTGTTTACTCAAAAAACACATGTTCTATCTATAATACCAATTTGCTACAAATTCATCTCAAAGTGAAACATTCCTAAGACTGTGGGGATGCACTGTATTCTCAGTGTGAATGTCAAGCACTTATACTAAAACTTGTCTCCAACTTCAGTTATTAGTATCTAATTTTAATTCTCAACCTACATTTAATCCGGAAAATCACAAGGACTCACCAGCATACACACCGCAGCAGCTACAGCAAATATTCTCCTGCAATGATTTGAAAGGATCATATACCCCAAAAGGGATTTTTTTATATAAAAAGATTAAAAAGTACAAATTGGAAAAAAAAAAACCCTCCCTTCTCCATCATTCTTCCCTTCCCTTCCCTTCCTGCACTACATCTCCTACACACGTTCATAATTTGTTCTCGTCTTTTTTGCAGTCACACACACACAGTATCTTTAAGATCCCCATCAAGTCCAAGTAAAACTGAAAGAACAACAAAAGAACATGCAAGATCAGGTTCAAGCCCCGATCTAAAACTCAAACCAGTTTAATAGTTACTTCAGAGTTTTGTGCCTTCAGCACCACTTAAATATTTCTGTTAGTCTGTGTTTCCTCATGTGAGTATTGGGAACACAGAAGCAAGAATCAGATAAGCTGCGCAAAACACAGCGCTGCCGTTTGGTCACGAAGCCGTGCTTTTCCCCGCTGCTACTGTCACCACCTCCTCAGTCTCCGTCCCGGGGTGGTCTTAACATCCACCGTACTCCTCTCCCGAGCAGGGACAGCCTAGCCCCAAACAGCACCAACAGACCTCTGGGAACCATCTGCAAAGCCACTTTATCTTTGTCCTCAAAAACTGGGGTGGAAGGAGTCCTTTTCCTCAAAAACTTAACTGGACCTTTGACAGCCTTTAAAAAATCTAATTCTATTTTTTTATTCCTAAAAAAAAATGATTTTTCCTTTGCCTTTTGTTATTTTAAATAGTTTTAAAGCAGGACATATTTAAAGATCTAGCACATTGTTTTATAAGAATGACACTAATCAATAATAATAAAATAATCTATTTTAAAGAGAATGCCATATTAGCATGTACTTTCTCAACTGCAATGTATTTAAAAATTCACCAACTTGGGGTATATTTTTGTTGTTTTTACTTCTAATATTCTGCAGTTAAAGGACCCACAATGTTAACTGTATGCTACTGCTGATCTAACATTAGTGTGCACATAAACATTTCTTACCAAATTATGCTTTTTTAGTGGAAGAAAATAATAATAATGGCAGAAAGAAAACATCAGTGCGTAGCAAGTAAGAAGTTCAGTGTAGAAACACAACTGCAGAAAAAGCCAATGATTATCTTCACCAACACAATTGTTAATCCTGAAGGGGGGAGAAGGAAAGAAACAATATTTTAAACTTTAATAAGACATTCATTTCCTGGTCAGCGAGACCAAAGACAAGCTCACACACTTGACATACACTTGATTTCATGGCACTGTGCTGAAGCCACTCACCCGAAAGACGACTATATGGAAACAGAAATACACCGTCTTATATTTGTACAGCATTTTCTGCTCTGTGAAGGAGGTCCACATCTGTACAACCCTCCTTCAACTCACAACAACCCAGGGGGGGCAAAAAAAGCAGATGGGGGTAGTCTGTTGTGTCCCTGGCACAGAAACAAAAGAGGAGGAGTGGAGCCGCAGCCGGGGATGCAGCTAGAAGAAAGAAAGAGCCACGAGAGGGAGGAGAGACATGCTTGTGCACTAAGTGCTGTGGCTCTGCACAACAACTTCAAAGTTTTCAAGCAAAACAACTTAAACTTGGTCACTCTGAAATACTTGCTGAGTAGTCACTGTATTTCTGTTCTTAAAAAACCTATGGCTAGTAGCTAAAAATAAAAATGTGTTCAAAACTACTTACAAATAATGCTATTATTTTCATCAATACAACAGTGAGGTCTAACTAGAGAACAGACTGTTATAATACCAGAATTTTCAAGGGCAATTTAAGATGAGTATTTCACCGTTCTCAACCTACTGTGCTCGTTTCCAATGTGCTGTAAAATTCCAGCAGAAAATTCTAATTCAAAATTACCTTGCATGTTTTTATTTCAAAATAGTATTACATTCCCACTAGGGGATAAAATGCTAGTGAGTTTTAATCCTATCTTAAGTTGGTGTTTTTAAGATGTGTCATTAAATATAGGTGGTGCACACATGTGATCCCAGCACTCAGGAGGCTGGGGCAGGAGCACTGTCACAAGGTCTAGGTCAGCCTGGGCTACGTAGTGAGTTCAAGACCAGCCTGTCTACATAGTGAGACCCTGTCTCAAAAAAAGAAAAAAAGAAGAAAAAAGGTAAAATTGCAAAGAACACTTGGAGAAATATCCGCAAATTAAGTGAATGTGATTTATAAACAAGAAAATGTTTTGTTTTCTGAAAGCAGGACTGAGAAATGACTTTAAGAATACATTCAAAAGTACTTTTCAGAGAGCTGTTGTTTGAAAGATGACATCCTTGCCCCATCCTTCCTATGCCCAAGAAGTTGGAAAAATTGTGACCACAACTTCCCAAACCAGAGAGCTTTATGAAGCACTATGGCACTCTATTAACATGTGTGTCCTTTTAGGATGCATCTCAGCTCCTTAGCAATGTGCTCAAAGCTAAAAACACAGAAAACACTGAGGTAATCTGAGAACTGACTTTCAAATCTAAAGCTGCTGGGCAGTTAAAATAAATGTAATTTCTGAAAATATCAAAACTTATTTCTGCTTCCAGTTGGTACAGTACATTCCTCTCCTCTGAACATTCTAGCAATGCTCCACTAGGAAATTAAATCACAAAAAGTCCTAATTCTACAGGGTATAATAAAAGTATGGTATATACTTACATAAAAGCTTTTAAAGTCTTATGCTAACAGACACACTGCCATTAATCCCCCTCAGGAGACTTCTTCCTGGCTTTGATCAGTTCATTATCCAATCATTTTTGCCACTTTCTGTGCAATTTTGGAGGTCCATTCTTGGGTCTTTAGTTGCCCTTCATGGCTGCCTCAGTATCCTAAATCAATTCAAAATGTTTGATTTATGTCTCTATCCACCTAGTCACCAGATATGGCACCACGTGGCCTCTAGCTCCTCCAGCTCTTCAGGACCATTAAGGATGCTGGTCTTCTTTATCTGCCCCTTCCTGCTGCCAATACTCTACAGGCTGACTAAGCCTCAATACAGCTGGACACAGAGATCGCCCCAGTGTTAGAACTCAGGGAGCACAACACCCTGACCTGGTCACCAACATGCTAGTCTTTGTTAAGGTACGCATCACTAGCTTCTGCATTTCTTAGCTGATTTGTTTAACCTTCAAATTACGGCATTCCTGTGCAAGGAAGCATCAACATCCAACTGTACTGTGAACACTTACCATATTTTTAGTTTATCAAAAATACTGCAATAAAAAGTGCTTATCACTTAAATATCTGAGTATATGTTTCACACAACTTTTTAAACTCTATTATTGCTGTGAATACAAGAATCATGGAGATTTAAATAGTTACTTGGAAATTAATCATTTCAATAAGTTATATCTTTTGAGTGCTGTAAATTTTTTGGGTTTTCTCTAAAATATTCTTACATTTTGTAATCATTTAATCTGAATAGAAGGAAATTACCTTCTTTTATAATAGTGTGTATGAGAACCAAATTTCCACTAAAAGACTGTTAAATCAATAATGTCATCAAATTAGTTATGGAACAAGGGAAACAGTAAATTAAACAGCATCATCAGGCAAAGGTAGATTCTACTCTTCAGTTAACTTAGAAGCAGTTATACATCAAACTGTTACTCAGTTAACTTCACATATGCGTGCATTCATGTATAAACATAAATATATGTATATAGATGTATTTATAAAGTGCTACACTCTACAGTTTAAATATTTATGCATATCCAATGTGAAGAAAACAGAATTGAATATAATATCTTGTTTTTGTTTTGTGACTGTTTTGAAATGAAATATGATACAGAATTTTCACAGCATTTGTTTTCAAAATTTCTATTTTTCAACTGAGGATTTTCCTTAAATATTACAAGAGAGCCCCCTATTGACCAAAAAATGTTGGCAGCGCATGAAAAACAACTAATTACATTTAACACACAACATGCACAAAATGTTAACACCTAAATGCAATATAGAAGGGGGTTATCACGGTACTTGTGTTGTGTATTCTCCATTTGAACAAGGAAGGGAGAATGCAACCAATGGAAAGCACAGGGCTTACTACAATAAAAAGAACAGCAACTACTGAGCGTGGACCTCCTGCATGTCAGACTCTGCACTAGCTTGTTTATACACATCACCTCATTTAATACATGCACCATAGGCTTTCTGTGGAATTTAGTGCATATTAATCATAGTTTTCTGCTCAAACATTTTCCTTGCTAGCAACAACAAAACTCTTACGAAAAAAGGACTTTAAGGATGGACAGCTACAATCAAAGATACTTTTATTAAAAGACTTTTTCAATTGACTATATTTAACGTAACCTGTTTACCCTGCCAGTCCTAGGCTTTTCTCGCAGCTTTGCCACCCTTCTTACCAGGGGCAGTGGTGGTCCATCCTCCTGACGCAGTGGCCACAGCGGCTGCAATGGTGGGAGCGCTTTGGCCTCATCAGGTTACACTTGCTGCACAATTCCCAGAGCTCCCTTTCTGGAGAAGGAAATTCAAATCCATTTAATGAAGAGAAACAAATAAAGGTGAAATTCAGTAACAACTGTTTACAGGATTTTAGAGAACATCTTCAATATTTATTTGTAACATATTTTTCTAAGTCTCTAATATAAATTTGTTTGCCAGAGTGCAGCTGCTCTACATATGTCTATTCTGTATATTTCTAATATTTATTTATTTACTTATTTATTTATTTATTCTGTATTTTAGGGAGGGGTCTACAGGGTGGTTGGGCTCTTACTACAAGATTGGACTCATAGAGATTCTCCTGTTTGCAGCCTCCCAAGTACTGGGATTACAGGAGCATGCCACCATGCCCAGTCTCAGTCTCAGTGTGCCCCGGGGGCAGGGCCGGCATGGCAGGCCGGAGGATTGAACCTCTGGCCACTGTGCCTGCTTGCAAGCACTTTAAGCTGCTGAGCTATTTCACCGGTCCTTATTTCTAATTTTAAACACTACAAAAATAAAGTACAATTACAGTTAATGTAAAGGACAGAAAACAGTTTGTGTTTTCAACACATTGTTAGAACATAAGAAAATCTAATAACAGAACCCTAATGTCCAACCAACTTATTTTATTGACAGCACTTTATTTAGACAAGCTAATTTATAGAAACTTTATTATCTAAAATCACTAAAAAGAAGAAATAATATGGAGTCCTGGTTTGAGCAGACTAAAAATATGAAATAAATCCCATAAACAAACAAGGCCAACATAAATGGCACAGCCCCATCCCAACAAGCATCATTTCTCTAAAGCAGTGATGGGGAACCTTTTAGCATTTCCAATGATATGAATAGCCCAGGTGGCACATGTGCCGTCTACAATTGCACCTAAATCATTTTATTTTTCTAATATCAATGGATTAATTTGGGACTGTGTATAGGGGCAGACTAGAGAAAGAGGACACAGAAATTTCAAAGGCATCTGAATAATTTCAGTAGTTAAGGTTGTAAGAAGAGTAAAATACAAGGCAAATAAAGGGGTTCTTTAAAAAAAAATATTGCCCTACAACCAAATAGCAATTTTCTCTGCTACGTATTAAAAGAAAACACCAGTAGGTCTTTGTGCTAAAAACAGGAAATTAAAATTTAAAAAAAACATGAGATTTGCATAAAATAAGTTTTTATTCTAAGTTGCTCTAATCAGACCCGTAAAAACTGTTAGAGAGTCATTTTTTAAGTCAAGACAATTTCCTCTTATATAAAATTTTTTGTTTGTTTTATGGTATCAGAGATTGAACTCAGGACCCTGTGCTTGCCAGGCAGGTGTTTATGCCACTGAGCTATCTCCTTGGCCCCATAAAACGTATTTTTAATATTTATTGTAATGGAATTTTACTTTAATAAAATTCTTAAAATTTTCAGCACTTATGTTTATATTACTCCCCCACTTCACTTAAAGTATGGGCATAGTATTAAAACTTAAATACAGTTAAGCTGGTATAGGTATTTATTTAACTGTAAGTCAAGTGGAAACTCATTTAATTGATAACATATTACAATGTTGCAAACTTATCATTTTTTCTCCCACTTAGCTCATGCTCCCAAAATTCCAACATTAAAACTTGGAACTCACACACAGCAAAGAATATAGTAAGGAAGGAGGTTCTATGAACCAATTCTAATTAATTTTCACAAAATGTAATATAAAAACCTTGTATGTAAAAATCAATGCTTTAAAACAAATCATGCTTCATTCTGTATTCTGAGAAATCAACATATAATATCCTAGAAAACAAATTATTTCATATCTAAAATGTATCTTCAGAAAAGATAGCATTTGGCTACAGTCAGAAAAGGCCTGAAGTTTGTACTGTAGACCAGTTTGACAAATTAGTCTCCAGGCAAGTCTAGTTCAACATCTGTTTTTGTATGACTCATGAGCTAAAGATGATTTTTATAACTTTAAATGATTTTAAAAATTAAAATAACCTGTAACGGAGAAATCATAAGAAATTCAAATTTCAGTGTCCAAAAACAACGTTTCATTTGCTATACACTTATTCACTTACACACTGTCTTTGGCTGTTTTTGTGCTACAAGACTAAAAGGTGAGTTGTGACAGAGACCATACATACAGCCCATAAAACTGAAAATATTTACTACTGGACCTTTAAGGCAAGGAAGTTTGCTGATCTTTAGTCTGGACCACAAATCCGTTTACAAAGAAATAGCCTGAAATAATCCTCTGGCTAAACTGGTGATAGAAAAGAAGCACCTAAAATGAGAAAGACCTCTACAAACTCAGTTTTACACACAAGGATACACATTCACACTACGTGATCAGAGAACAAAGAAATCACTATTGTAAAACTCCAGAATTGTAATTGAAAGTATCATCTACAGTGTTTTTGCCTTGTACAGGAAACCAATTCATTCATGTTAACCTTGCCTATCTATAGACGCTTCTTAGTCCTTGCCTTTTTGTTCTCTGGTGTTTACTGATATCTAAATACAATTTTAGTGACTGACACATTCTGCTGTCTGGTGAATACCTAGAAGATTTCTGCACAGTGTGCTAATAACATAAATAAAACTCTAATAACAGAATTCAATGATGATTTCTTAGTTGCAGCAAAGTTCAAAGCTAATAGAGATATCTTTTTTAAGGGAGACAGGAAACAAAACAAAGATTAAAAACACTCCCTAAATGGCTGGGCTGTGCAATGTAAGTACACAGCACAGCATGTGCTCACTGATGTCACTCTCACTAAAGCTGCAAGTGCCTCACTGCGCATAAAGTAATGTCTGGCTTGGTTGGCTGTGGTTTATATCAAAAAAACTGGGAATCATTTTCTCTCTGAGTCCTTTCTTTACTCATAGATGTTTGCAGCACATAATGACATTTGTCGTGGGGAATTGGTACACGTACATAGAGTGTACATCTCAATTCTTCTCCCCGACTCCATCCCTTTTCTTTTACCGGCACCAGATTTATTTATCCTAAGTCATTATAAAGTTAATCATCATACGTAAAAATTACCAACCAGACTAATACACCAAAAAAAGTCTTTTAAAGACTCTCATCTTATGAGGTCCTGTCACTCAACTATCGTATTTTAAATCACAAAGTTGTTTTAGGGAGAAAAACATGGCTTGAAACTATCAAAGTCAGTACAAGATTTGGATCCTATGTAGATTCCACAACATAAAAGACTGTCAAAGTAGGAAACAATGTCAGTAATACAAGAGGATAGAATCAAATCTATGACTCTGACCATTAACAGCACACGTATTCTTATATAGTTTGGGGTAAAACTTGGAAGGACAGCCTCATAACAAAAAATTGGGAAGATTTTGTTCTGTGGCATTATTTCAAAAAAAATGGCTTTATGGATGACAACACTCAACGGTGTAAAAGCTCGATGATGCAAATGTTTTAATGCTGACTATGGTGACGGCTGTACAACTCTAAGTATACCAAAAACCACTGAACTACAAATTGAAAGGAATTTACACTCAAAAAATGATTAAAAGTTTGAATAAAATCATTTCATAAAACATGAGTGATAAAAATGGTATTTCTAAAGTTAAGGCATTGGTTTATTGAAAAAACAATGTCCAACTGATCAATTTTGCACGCCTGTATCTGGTTATCTGAGCAACTGCTTTGAAGACTGCAATATGACAATCACTGCTGGTTGTCTACCACCTTGTTATATTCCTATCGCCTGTATTGTTTTAATTGTTTAATTCTCTTTAAAATAAAATTTAAACATAAGTAGCTAAGGCATTACTTTATATTTGTTATATCAAATACGCATGTAAATAATTCAAATATCCTAATCAGACATGTAACAATTTAATTGTACTATTTCTTCTACGTGCCTAAAAGTTTTTAAAAGCAAATTCTGCAAATTTCTCATGGGAATATTCTCATACATTCAACATGCATCACATTCAGTAGATCTCATGTATACTAAAGTTACTCTTTAAAAAATAAAGAAGCCAGGGAGATAGCTCAGTGGCAGAGTACCTGTGTGGCAAGTGTGAGGTTGTGAGTTCAATGCCCAGTACCAAAAAAAAAAGGTAGATAAAATGTGTCAGAGTAATTCAATTAAAAATGGCTAAAATAGAAAAGTATTAAAGACTAAAGCCTTGCGGAAGAACTCAACTATATGAAACTGCTCGACTTTCAAACATTCCTAAATAAGTCACTATTATATAGCTTCAACTCTTTAATCATACTGTTATTTTCACTGTTAAAAGTTCATTGTTTTCTTGTTTTGTTTTGCTTATTTTGGTAGCAGCGATCAGACTCAGGATCTTGCACTTGCCAGGCAGGTGCTTATGCCACTGAGCTATATCCTGGCCCCTAACATTTGTATTGTTTTTACTAAGTTAAAACCATATTATAAGGGCCAGCTAGATAGCTCAGCAGATGAAAGCACCTGCTTAGGCAGAGCGCAGTGGCTGGGGTTCAATCCCAGACAGGCTGTGCTGGCCCTGCCCCCACCCAGGGTGTGCTGAGATGGTGCCTGAGACTGGGTATGGTAGCGTGCACCTGCAATCCCTGTGCTTGGGAGGCTGAAAACAGGAGAATCACTATGAGCCCCATCTACATAGTGAGGCCCTGTAGACCCTGTACTAAAATACATTTTAAAAAAAGAGAAAAAAAAACTTATTATAGAAGAATCAGGTAGCCAGCACCAAAAAATTATGATTTCAAATTTCCCCAGAATCACAGCAAAAGAGCTAAAATTATTATTCTCTATATACTAGTAGACCCAAAATAAAATGACAGAGGCAAGACTGTGGGCCTCAACCAGCTCTGTGACATTACAGCTGCATAACCTAGAACATACAATCCACACTACTGACTACCCAGCCTACCTCCTCAAGTACCAGGAGGACCAAGTGATATGAGACATTCAAGGAATTTGGAAATATCAAAATATAGTAAATGTCTTTTTTCCAGTTGACTCACAGGACGTTTCTTGGACTGAAGGAAGAGAAATAACTGAGACATCAAAAAATACAGGCATCCAAACAATTAGCAAGACATCATGAAGGTCTGCAATACTGAGTCTATACTCTGAACGTAACAGTTCCATGGACCCAATTAAGCCCGTAAATGCTTGTTTTATACTCGTGTTTTATAATCTGTGAATTAATTATTGACTTCTGTAAATGTGTGTGGTGCTGAAGAGTAAACCCAGACCTTTCTTCACTAAGAATTCCTCCTACAAACTGGGATTCTCTGCTGAGACGGTCTGGCTGTCACTCATCCCCAACACAAGGCTGCGTGCAAGGAGCTCAGTCTTCAAGTTGTTGACGGAATCTGACAGCTCCTTTAAAAGGAGCAGCTGTAGGGAACTCCTAGATGGCTGCCTCACCTTCTGGGAGGGTACAGTACTCTGTTCCTGCAGTGAGGGCCGGGGAGAGCCCAGCTTCCTGTTTAGCAATGTAATTTCTCATTCCCACTTGTCCTCCTGCCTTTGAATCAGTTCACTATTATGTGACACAGCCAAAAATGTTCCCATACAGGCGTCATTCTCAAGCCTTCTGAACTGTGAGTTAAGTGAAACTACTTCCTTCATAAATAGCCTACCTCAGGTATATTGCTACTGTAACACACATAGCAGGAAACTAGACTCCAGAAGTAAATGTACTACTGTAACAGACCACCTCAGAATGTGGGCTGGGCTGGGAACTAGGTTTCTGGTAGAGGTTGGAAAAATTTGGAAGAGGAGGCTAGAAAATGCCTAGAATGCTATAAGCAGAATTTTATGGGCAACTCTGGTGAGGGCTCTGAAGAACAGGTCAAGACTAGCAAATTAGTTCTGGATGGAATGAGAGTGCTACTAGAAATGGGACTAAAGCCTTGCCAGAGCATGTGCCATATTACTGGCACTTTCAGAATCCTTACTGTAATCCAAATAAGCCTTTTCTTTATAAAGTTAGCCTGCCTCAGGTATTTTCTAATAGCAACACAAAATTTTAGGATGCAACAATCTTAAGTCATGATAATTTCACAGGGGCAGAGTCCTGATGCTCCTCCTGTTAGAGAAAGGCATGTGTCCTTCCAATACAAACACCTGGCCCCCCTACTAACTGGTGTGTCTGGAACCTACAGCCATTTGCATTCAACAGAAATGTGTTCAAAGTTTTAGAGAGTGCATCTTTGTTCTGGATTACTGCATTTTAATACTGAAGCAAGCTAACACATTTATGCAGTATGTTGGAGAGGCTGGGCTATGCCAACTAGCAAGAGGGACTATGCAGATTGCTGAGTGCCATCCTCCTCTCTCTGTCCACACTACAAAACATATACTAACTATATACTAAACCGCTGACTCCTACAAGTTAGTAAACACTGAATAGTCAATATAAGTAGTAAGACATTTCTGTAATTGCACAAACATTGGTGTAATCCTATCTGATCTCTAAACCTGCAAGGCCAAATAACCCTAAATGTGATGGGTCTCAGAAACATGAAAGCAGGACTACAGGAGGCTTGGGAAGTGACCTGGCACTTAATCTCTTCATGTCAGGAACTACTGCATTAGTGTCTGAACTTGGCTGCATGCCAGAATTACCTTGCATCCTCTGAAACAACTCATAGCTGTGACTATATCCATATGTTCTACTGAAATTAACATTAAGTTTAATTCTGATTAAATGACACACTGAATTTTTTTTACTGGTAACCAAGGATCAAACTCAAGACCTTGCACTTGTGAGGCAGATGCCTGTGGTGCTGAGCTATCTCCCCAGCCCCACACTGAAAATTTTAAGACACTTTCCAGGTAATTCTAACATACACTCAGTTTGGAAGCCATTGAATTACCATAAAATTACTGTACTGCAAAGATATATATAAATTTCTTACTAGAATAAAACGCAGAATTCTCAAAGCATATAGAGCGAAAATTCAAAACATAAGACTAAGAGGACAAATATACATTTATACATGTAAAAATCAATACATTTCCACTCATTTTTGTGATCTGAATGGCTACGCCACACGATGATCAAGTTACCTTTAAAGAACACTAGAATGAAAGGTTTTTAAGTTTTTCACAGTACTGTTAGAATGTGGAGAATTAGAGGCAATAATGTCCATAATACTATCAATATTCACTCCAAGAAATATATCTAAAGTATCTTGAGATTAGTGGCACCGACAAGAAAATTCCCTTTGCAAATAAAAATAGAATTTCTCAGTCAGCCATGGTGGCACAAGACTATAATCTCAGCTACCTGGTAAGCTGAGGCAGGAAGATTAAATTAAAGGGCAGTCTCAAAAATTTAGGAATAGCCTGCCTTAAAATAAAATTTTAAAAAGGGCTTCACACAGAGCTCAGTAGTAGAGCACTACTGGGTTCAATACCTAAGACTGCCACCTACAAAAGAATGAAAACCATATCATATCATTACATTCCAATCAAAAATATTTGTTGCACTTCTCAGGAGCAGAAAATGCTAGACATGTTACAGAACTGGACAAAGACAATGAAACAAAGACCCACAGCCTGGCCCTGCTTAGATGTGGAATGGGTGGAGGGAGACAAACATAAGCCGCTGAGAAGGCCAGCTGGGCAGTGGGGCCGGGTGCAACTGTAACACAGAAATCGGGAAAGAAATATAAGAACAAACTTAAAAGTGGTATTAAAAACAAGTGGTGTTGCATGACATATAACATATACTAAAGGCAGTAAAATATATCAGCAAAACGTAAATCTGAGGAATGCCATACCTCCATGTGGGATCTTGGGGTTCTCGGGGAGTCTTCCTGGATCAGTTATTGAGGCCCTCACTAAGGCAATCAGACAAAATATGGCAATGCCGTAGAATACTTAAAAATAAATAAAGTAAGTTATTCACATAAATTTTAAAACACTTTATCATTAAGCATAGTTCATTTTTTTCATAGTTAAATTTTAAAAGTGTATTTTATTTAACTCCATCAGGGTAACTAATTTTTTTTTTTTTTTTTTTTTTTTGGGGATTGAACTCAGGCCCTTGCGCTTACCAGGGAAGCGCTTATTCTCCTGAGCCATCTCCCGGCCCCTCATCTGATCTTGATCAGGCCATGATGCAGACGTGCACCCGTCATCCTGACCCCCCAGGCCGGGAACCAGCCCATGTGACAGCATTCCAGGAGCAGCTCTGGAGTTCAACAGACTGATGGAGCCCTGATGCAGGCCTTGGGCCTGGGGACTAGTTCTCTCCTATGGAGGAGAGAGCAGAACTAGAACCAGCTCTGAGCATAAAATACTCCTTTCTGGAACCTGATATCCAGCAGTGGCTTTATTTGATTTGATTTATTTTTGTGGCAAGCTCAGCCCACCCTGGGTGTGGGGCTGGCGCAGCTTGTGGTGCCAAGGGTTGAACCACGGTCCCTGTGCTTGCTTAAGCAGGTGCCTTAGTCTGTTGAGATATCTCACCAAACTCAATGACTTTAAATGGTTCTTTCTTTCTTTTTTTTTTTTTTTTTTTTTTTTTTTTTTTTGGTGGAAC